CACTTGCCAGCAATTTATAACTTTGGGCTGGTTGCCTTATCTCTGCAATGGGATAATATCACCAATCTTATATGGTTTTAATTGTGGTTAAATAAGGTAATGTATATAATTGCTCAGCACACTGCTGTGGAACATGGTAAAGAGTATAGGATCCAATGGATGAATGTATAATTGACCAGAATGTATAACTGACAAGAAACTTAAGTGTTACTCTTTTTCCTCAAATATCCAGCCTCCCTGTGTGTCTTAGGCCTAATCCCATTTCTTAAAATTAAGGAAATGAAAAAAAAGGAAATGACCTTGTTATTAACCAAATTTTAATTAGTTATTAGGATCAAATGGGATAATGTGTAGAGTTATATGTTTAAATTACAGTAGCTTTACTATGAAAGGCTGTTTCTTGAATCTTTAGTCATAAAAGTTTGCCATTCATCTCTGGGTCTCTATTTTAAAAGTCAAGGCTATTTAAACAAACTAGAAACTAGGGAGTCCCTGAAAGCCTCACCCAGATTTAATTTCTTAAAGGAGAACAAAAAGGTTTTCTGTCCAGAATCTAGCAAAGAGTAGGTGGCACATTAACTACTTTAAAAGCCTTTTCTTCTACCTGCGATTTTTTAGAAGATCTTCATTAAAATTTCATGTACAAATTTTTTATAATCATGAAATTGTTTTCAAATATACTGAAAAGGCAATTAAAGTTTTCTTCTCATGGATGATATGGATGTCCATTTTATTACATCATTTTTTAATTCTGGTAAGATGGTTTTCCCCCTTAATAAGATCTAAAATTAGATTGCATAATTATTTAGTAGTCATTGTTAATACTAATGTTAATGACTTGAAGCACTGTTTATAGATTCTAACTGACATAATCTGTAAACTATCCTTGTTCTGGTTTAAAATATAGGAAGCTTTTAAGAATTGGTATTTATCCTGCCCTAAAGGATATACTTTATCCTTAGCGTAATTTTCTGGGAATAAAAAACCTAAGGTAGAAAACCGGTTGGACTTCGTTTTTTGCTCTTCGTTTAATTTGAAGATGACATTATTGTGTCTGTCTCTGCAAAATAATATCAAATGTGTAACCCATAAAATGGTATCTTCTTTTCACAGCCTCAGTGTTTACTTGCCTGGCAATAGCATTGGGATTTTACAGAATCTGGAAATAGTAGAGCTACTATATTATGCTGCTGTGAACTTAGAACCCTACACCAGGATGCATTTATTCTGAACATGGAAGTTGTGGCAGATACTCAATACAAGGTTATTCAGAGTACATATGGACTAAAAAATATTTTAAAATGGGAAGATGTGCTTTGAGTTTGTGTTTTGTATGTGTCTTTATTTTATTATGTTGAAAAGCTGTCATTCAAAACCTGATTGATTTGAGATAGAGGCTTTTTGTCTTTATCCTTTTCATAGTTCATAGAAACTGATCCAGAGTTTTCTTGTGTTTGCTTGAACAATGTATTTCGTAATGTCTGCTGCAAATTTAAAAACTATTCCCAAGCCTACATACTTGTAATTGTATTCAGCTTCCCTGGTAACTACTGCACAGTTACCTTTTCATAGAAAATAAAATCTTGTTTTAACAAAGTTGTTTGGATTTTAAAGGCAACTTCCTATATATGGAGATTGGGTTTCTTAGTAGTGAATTAAAACATTGAACTTTAAAATAATGTGTGCCCTAGTTCAACTGTAGGACACTTGGTATGAAATCTTCGAGTTGCTATGTCTTGAGCTCTGATTATTACATATACTTCATTTTTTTGATTCACAAAAACCAGTTTATCCCTGCTTCTTAGGAACCCATCTTAAATTTACATAAAATGAAGAGGGTTTTTTGGGTTTTTGTTTGTTTTTTATGAGTCACTTAAATTCAGTAAACTTCTATTTGGTGACTAAGTAGACCAAGCAGGGTTATATAAGGACTAGTCAAGAGTCAGTAAAAACCCTTCACTGTATTTGAAAAACAAAGTTTATAATTCCCATTTCGTCAATCTTTAAGAATTTCGATACATGAATATTTAAAAGTATGCAGTATTTTTTTAATATGAAGAAAAAAAATGAGGCAATGGAAACAGCAATGTTCACCAACACTGAACTTAGTGATTGTTGTTTTGTTGAATAATAGCTACCACTGCCTATACAAGGGGGACTGTGCTAAATAATATATAGCAACTCACCTTTTTTTTTTTTTTTTTCAAAGCGGTGGTATTATTCTTATTTTACAGCTGAAAAAACAAGCTGAATGAAGTTAAGGTCACACAGTTGTAACTCACACAACTGAGGTTGCCAAGGCTATACAGCAGACAAGCCACACAGTCTTTAAATTCCAGTCTTTAAATTCTTTCTTACTCGGTATTCTAGTCATCTACAAGTTGAGCCTCTATCTTGATAGAAGGACAAATAATCTAAGGCATGGGAAAAAAACATTTCTACTTACATCTCTCTAACGTCTTTTTCACTTCTGTTGTGTTTCACTAACATGATGTGGCATAATGTATATATATATATATATATATATATATTTGGTCTTTGTCCCCAATTCCTGTTCTCCTAAAACCCTTGTACTTTCTTGATAGGGGTAATTACAAGCTTCTGTTTTCTTGGCACAAAGCTCCTAAAATCCTCCAGATCTCCTGAATGGTAAGAGTGTATTCTGTATGCTGAGGGGATAGGCGGCTGGGAGCCCTTCTGTAACTTCAGAATGGGGACTGGTTGCCAAATAGACCAAGGCGTCATTATAGATTGGAACTTCTTTTCAGCCTCCCTGATCTCCCAACTCAACCTCTGGGAAAGGGCGAAGACAGGAGAGGAGCTGAAGGTTGAGTTCAGTTCCCACTGGTCAATGCACTGAACACATTGGTACTAGGAGGGCGGCACACAGAAGGAAGTCATGGGAGCCCCATGCACCTCTCACTCCACACCTCGTCTCCGGTGGGCTGTTGCTGAAATGTATCCTTTCTATTAAACTGGTGACACTCAAGTGTTGTTTTTCCTTCTGAGCTCTGTCAGTCATTCCAACCAACTGTGGAATCTGAGGAGGGGGTTCAGGAAACCCCCAGATGTACCACTGATTAGTCAGAAGTAGCAGTGACAACCTGGGACTTGAAAAAGGGTGTCTGAAATGGCGACATTCTTGTGGGACTGAGCTTTTAACCTGTGGTCTGACGCGAACTCTGGGAAGTTAGTATCAGAAGTGAATTGTTGAACACCCAGACGGTGTCCAGAAAATCCAAGAATTGGTTGTGTTGGAAAACACCACGCATAACAGAATAATACATATATGTGATTTATGATTAAATACATATAATTTCAGGATTGTATTAACAATTTTGATTCAGCGGCTATAATACCCAAAATAATAATGGTTTAAAGAACAAAGAGGTTTAAGTTCTCTCTTACCTACAGTCTAGGTATAAGCTTTCCCAGGCTAGTATGTCGGCTCCATGGTATCCAGGCGCAGGATCCTTTTTATCTTATCGTTCTACCATCCCTGGTGTTGCCCTCATTCACAAGGTCCTGTGACTCACCACCATATCCACATCCCACAAGCAGAAAGGGGCAAGATGTGGGCAAGCCCCTTCCCTTTAAGGTCATGACCCTGAGGTTATATACACACCATCTTTGCCCACACTCTATTGGCCACAACTTGGTGTTTTAGCTGCAAAGGAGATTGGGAAGTTAGCCTTTATCCTGAGCAGCCACAAGCCCAGGTAAATCCTAACACTGCGGAAAAAAGGGAGAACAGGTACTGGGGGACAACCAGGGAACCTCTTCCTTCAAGGGTGCACGTTTCTATGACAACACTCTTCTAGTTATTTCCTACCTCAGTGGTACAGAGAGAGACTGGAGATGTGGCCTTGAGAAAACTGGAGCAAGAATAACAATGTACAGAGTAGGGATTCACCTTAGGGTCACCAGCCTGGAAGGAAGGCTGTGTCTAGTCCCAGAAGGTGAGAAACTGGGTTCGGGAATTCCTGTAGTGGTTAAGGATGCAGACTGAACTTTCCCCACTGAGGTGAGAATCCTGGCTTCACAGTGCTATGTGATTCTGGGCAAATTACTTAATTCCCATCTGTAAAATACACCTATCTCCTACTGCTGTGGTGAGAATTAAAAGATAATACGTGGAAAGGATTCGGCACAGGTCTCACACATAGTACGTACCAAATAAATGTTTTATTATAGATCGAAGGCCTCTTGCAAACCACAGAGAAACTAACAATGATCAAAAGGATAGGTGAGGCATTTTTTAAAACTGGCTTACAGACCCCCAAACAGCCTGAACTGATCTCCCATGCAAACACGCTCATGTTAGGGCAAACTGGTCCCGATGATACTGTGTCAGAATGGCCTTTAAGCATCCACGGAAAGTATGTGCCAGGGCCCAGAGGGTGGGCAGTCGGGGGTGTGGTGAGAAGACTGTGGCCAGCAAGGCCCAAAACCAACAATCAGATCTTCAGGGTGTGGCAGATTTAGACAACTGCCCCAAGACAGTAACAAATTGGCTACATGGAGGAGGAAGTGGGTAGAGTTAGAAAGGAGGGCATGAAGTCAGAACGGAAATGAAATGCTGTGGTGGTTTTTTTGGTCAGCAACATCAGGAGGCGGGGGAGGGAAGAGAGAATAACAAAGCCATGTATTTATTATCCTGTCCAGTCAGCCTCATTTTTATATTGCTTTCTTATAAAGCTTGCAAGACAGAACAATGGTTGAATTCTAAAACAGATTATTTAAATCAGTATTTTTAGCAAACATGTTATGAGGTTTTTTTTTACAAGAGCAGATTTTTATTTTATATAAAACTTAGTCCTGAGATATTTGGTTGCCCTTTTCTAAAATTTACTCATCTTATTTGCATTATCTCCTGAGTCCAGATGCTTTTTTAAAAGTCATTTGAAAAGTTAAAAAATGGTACTCTCTAATAAGTAAAAGATAATTTTTAATGTCTACATTTCTTTTGATTACTAGACTGTACCACCTTATATTTTAAAGTTTGTGTGAATACTTGCAAAATCAATTACTCATAAATATATAAAAAGTATTTGGGGAGCGGGAGTCCAGCTGAGTACATGTAATTTTAGCAATCCCTTTGATATTATATAACATATTTCTGCCTTCAGAATTGAAATAGTATATAAGATTAACTCAGGAGAATTTATATAGATTTACATTTCTATCAATTTAAGAATAAAAGAGAAAAATCAAGCAAGTTTATTTAAAGTTATTTCACTGATCAGTACCTTCTCACAAAAACTCCCCCAGAAGACACCTTTTTCTTAATTCGCCTTTTCTCTTTGCTTGACTCACAAGAAGAGTCATCTTCCTACAAACAGGAAAAGAGGGCCAAATGAGAAAGCTACACTAGACACAATTTCATCTTTCTACATTATCTGTTCCACAAGAAAAAATTTAACCATACTAATATTTTCAACTCTGGATTAAATTTCTTTTGGGATTTTGTGTAAATAAATTTTCCAATCTGAAGTACCAGTACATCATATTCTGTGCTGACTCACAGACTAGGGAACACCTAGAGAAATCAACCAGTCCTGTCTCTACCCGAATACATCCCCAAAAGAGAATGCCTAGTTATTTCTGCTTTTATCTTACCCTAGCACTTCTCAGTATACTGCTAACTGACATACGCAGTGTTAGAAAGGCCTCCTCTGGATTCGTTGCAAGCCCTGTAGTGCTAGGAATCACATTTCTTGGTTCCTCCACTCCCTCCTCTGTGTTCACACAGCCTTCTACTGCCCACTCTGCCTGCCACCACTGTTCCCAAATATTTCTCATCCAGCACGGTATTCTCAGGACCCCGCACAGAAGATTCACTTAATGAATGCCATGGAAAGGAGCAAGAGAGGGCTAGAAATACAGTGGATGTTCAGTGGATGTTAGTCATCTATGAATAATTCTCCCTGCACCCAGCTGGTCAGGACAGAGCTGAATGCAAGGGCTCCAAGAACAGCACAAGGCACAGGGCCATGGGCAGAGCCCACCCCTGGACTGAGTATTCCCCAAGCTGTTCCTGCCCACACCCTTGGGCTATAAAAAGTTACTGTTATCAAAACAGTAATAGTTATTATTATCAAAAACTAGTTAAGTGCATTCTATATGTCAAACTACCCTAAGAAACTACCCTGAGAAATTTTTTCCTGGAGAGAAATTATACTATTACAGATTGGTATTTAGAGGGGGAAAGTCTTAAAGGTACAGCTGAATGTAACCATAGGTCCTGACCAGAAGGTGGCAGGAGATTGAGGCAGAATTTCTTGAAGAATCAATGAGCACTGAATGGAAAGTTCATTTCATTTCTACTTTATATATTTACACTCCCAAATAAACAAATTCCTCTACTTGGAGAAGCACTGGGCTTTATCTACTGACAATGTTTATTAAACTCGAATACAGAAAATGAAAGGAAGGAAAAAGAAAAGATATGTAGAAGGGGGAATATACTACCATGAATACTATTGGTAGAAAATACCTCAGTATTTCCACACAGTATTTCATTTAACATCAATACAATCTCGTGAGATAGGTTTTCCCCTTTTTAAAGATGAAATTGAGACTCAGAAGCTTTTGCAGAAAAGCAGTGCCAGGCCTGCAGCGCCATTAGAGGTCGGTGACATTTGCTCATTTACAAAAATTCGATTAACCTAAAGCAGGACTGCAAGAAAAAAAAAACAATGGGCCCAGAGGACAGGGCCCTCGAGTCAGCTCTCCTGAAAACCTACACATTGTTGGTAGAGAGCAAAGTTTTGAGGGAGGATGTGCTGGAGAGCATGGAATCGAACCTGACCCTGAAAACAGACACTTCCGGGTAAGAAAATATTTTAAACAGCCATCAAAAAAACCAAAGTTTTCTAGGCAGACAAATCATTTTGCAATGACTCAAAAGAAGGTGAGGCTTGGGTAATCTCTTTAAGACCTAGGAGCGGGACAAAGCAACACACGCTCCCGTCATGGCGGCGGGGTCGGCGAAGCCCCTGCCCCCGGGTGACGAGGCAACAACAGGGCTGGGACTGCCCGCGGTCGTTAACGGAAGGTAAGTGTCCGCTAGTCCTCTAGCCCACAACCTGTGACTGTGAGGGTTGGCCTCGCTGTACGAAAGTGCCCCGGGGGCTGAGGGCAGTACGAGGTGAGCACCGCAAAAATGAAGAGAATGGGTTGTTATAATTAATTACGTCTCTTGGAAAATTAAGGACTGGTGAGATACTAAAACTCCGCGAAAGTATCTGAATTTGTACATGCAGAGAAATACATATACGTGTTTGTAAATGCATCGCACGTTGTGTAACAGGCATACCAAACCGTTGCCAGTAGCCTCCTTCGGAGACTGGGACTTGGTGCGGGAAGGAACAACTGCCCTGTTTTTAACATTTTACAACAAGCACATAGACTATTTTAATATTTTTAAAGTGGCTATTAAAGAGATTAATGATAAGTCTGTGCAAACTATAAGGAGCCAGGAAGGTTTTTTTTTATCAATCAGGTTCGAGGTGATACAGGTCTGGGGCAGGATTAAATCACCCGTGATGACTGAAGAAAACATCTCCGCCCGGAAGGAAATATACGAAGCGAACCTGAATCCCTACGCGGTGCCACAAGAACTTGCCCAAAGGCCACATCATGACCATCTTCACTCACAGAAGAGAGTGAGGGTCACAGAGTGTCCTCAGCGTGCTCTCTGCCTGTCCACTCTTAGACGAGGTGGCCCGAATTTCTTGCTGTTTTCATTCTATTCTCTATATTCTACCTGCTTTTCCGTATTTGTTCTTTGTATCTGTTTCTCATATTCATTTTTCAGCTTCCTTCTACATAGTTGTCCTTCCTGTCACTCTAAAGCATCTTTCTGTATTTTAGGGCTGTATTCTGAATTCCAAATTCATAATTCTAGCTAGAAATTATGAAAAGAGCTAAGGCTATGGGGTCAAAAGCTAGAAACTGAATACTGGTCCCACCATTACTAGCTGTGTGAATTTAGACAAGTCACTTAACCTCTCTGAGCCTCAGTTTCCTCACATATTAAATGAGGGCAGATCAAATGACATATGAAAACACACAAAAACTTTGTAAAGGTGAAGTGTTACAAGTGTTAGCTTTCATTACTCTGTAATCTGAACAAAGGACGCTATGACAACTCACCCTCTGGCTCCTTTCTACTCTTCAAACTTCTCTTGAGGATATGCTCACTTTGGCAGCACATATACTAAAAACTTCTTTTGATGAGCTGAAGCTTTCTTACATGGACTCCATTCCACTTTATTTTGGCTATTTAGAGTATTAAAATACACATACTCTAGGTGCCTGAGAATTCTTATCACTCTGCTTATAAAAAAATTTTTTCTTATATGTCTCAATAATACTTACTGTACACTTATGAATGAGGATGCTGTTCTAACCAGTACATATATGGATATATATGTATGCATGTGTGTGTACATATAAAGTTTTATATAGTTATATATATAAAGACATAGCTATGTAGAGAGATATATTCCTTTAGTCTTTACAACACTTTACAAAGTATAAATTATTATCTCCAGTTTAAAAATAAGGCAGAGAGGTTAAATGACTTGTCCAAACTAAAACAGGTTGTGGCCAAGAATCAAACCCAAAGAGTCCCAGTCCAAAGCTTATTTAGCTCCTCTTATATACTACTTGTTGAGAGAGAGAAATGTGTTAAGAAGGACACCAACCACAGCAAAGTTGGGGACCTGAATCCTTTCCAGTGTCTCCCTGAGTTGATCCACCTCTGCACGATACTCATCCAGCTGACCTTCTAATTTTTCTCTACGAAGCCGTTCATACTCCAGCTGGCCCTGTAGCTCCTTGATAGTTCTGTCAAAAAAAAAGTTTTCTCAATCAATCTCCAGTATCAACTAATAATTATTTTTGGCCAGAGTAAAAAGCATCCATGCATTGCATTTAAGGCAAATAAAACAAAGAAATAATTTATTTGACAAATATGAATGGGAAGTCTACTATGAGCTAGCACTGCTCTAGACAGCAGGGATACAGCAAGGAAAAAACAGGCCAAATGTGCCCTCCTGGGGCTTACCTTAGCAGTGGAGGAAGAAAAACAACAAAGAAACAAGTAAATACATGGTATGGGGAAGGTGAAAAATGCTAAGGGCGAAAAAAATAAAGCAAGAAAGAGTAATATCAAATGTTGTCAAGGAGGGGATTAACACTTCGTACACAGTGGCCAGGGAAGGCCTTACTGAGAACGGATCTTCTGAACAGAGTCCTAAAGGAAATAAGAGAGTCCTAAAGGAAATAAGTAGACATCTGGGGGAAGAGCATTCCAGACAGAGGCAGAAGTATGCCTGGTGAACTGGAAGAAAAGCAGAAGCTAATGTGGTGTAGTAGTTTAAAGGACAAGTAGCAGGTCGGCGAGGCAAAAGGGAGCCAGAACAGGCAGCGCCTTGGAAGTCATAGTAAGGACCTAGACTCTCACTCTGAGCAAAGTGGGAAGCCACTGGAGAGTCTGAGCAGAGAAATGGCATGATTTGACTGAGATTTTTCTTTTGCTTTTGTATTTTTTTAATGATCTACAAGTTACTATGAGTAAAATACACAAAAAGCAACTAAACAATTCAATGAGTTTTGATTAATGTGTAAACCCTGTAATCACCACCATGACCAAGATATAGATTTCCATTACCTCAGAAAGTTCCCCCATGCCCCTCCCAGGCAACCTTCATTTCCCATAGGAACCACATTCTGAATATCTATCATGTTAGATTAGTTTTGCCTATGCTTATAAATGAAATTGCGTATTATATACTTTTATGTGCCTAGCTTCTTTTAGTCAAAAGTATGTGAGACTTACTGTACCTAGGTTTTAACATGATTACTCTGGACACTGTTGAGAACAGACTGCAGGGTATGGGGACTGGGAATTAGGGGGCAGGGACAGGAAGCTGGGAGACATATCAGGAAGATGTTAAAATAAATCCAGACAAGAGTTGATGTGACTTGAACCAGGGTATTTTTCTGTCTTATTGCTGGATGGTGGGGGGAAGAGAATTCCCAAAGCAGCCTGGGTAGGATGTCATGTTCCCAGGAGAGTGATCTAAGAGCATTCAGTAGTAGCTCTGGTATGGAAGTGTATGGGGTTAAGACTGGTAGGAAGCCTAGAATTGAGCGAATAAGAAGGGAAAATCATTCCCAGGACATGGTAATACAACCATGCTTTGTTGTATTTTGACTCAGATCTAACAGATCACAACAAAATTAAGAGGACATCCCTCAAACCAATACTTACCCAGTTTTTCTTGACAATTAGACCTAAAAGCAGGAGTTTGTACCTAAAGAATAAATGTCTTCAGATGTACTCAACACCAAGTGGAGAACCAATGCTAGAGAAGTATTAAAGCTCACTCAGAAGACACACTTCATTCTCAGCTGACATGAAAGTACATTCTGGCTCAAAGGCAAAGCAATCTTGAAAAAAAAAAATCTGTTCAAAATCACATCAATAGTATAACCATTTCACAGTGAAATGCTATTATTAGAGCTAGAAGTTCCAAATCCTAATCCTCTTAAATAACAGGGTTGCAGTCCAACAGACTCAGGCTCAAATTCTGGCTCCACGTACCACTCTTCCAGTCCAATTGGATAGGAATGGTTAGAGATGGTTGGTTGAAAAGCTCAAAGTAGCTGTGGTCTCAAAAAAAAGTCTTGGGGTGCCTGGGCGGCTCAGTCAGTTGAGCATCCAACTCTTGATTTCAGCTCAGATCATGATCTCGGGGTCCTGGGATTGAGCCCCATGTCGGGCTTCATGCTTAGCAGGGAGTCTGCTTGTGATTCTCCCTCTCCCTCTCCCCTTGCTTATGCTCTCATTCTCTCTCTAAAATAAATAAATTTTTTTTAATAAATTTTTTTTAAAGTCTTTATAGAGTTTCAGTTTTACAAGATGAAAAGCATTCAGGAGATTGGTTATACAAAAGTGTAGAAGTACTTAATACTACTGAATTGCACACTTAAAAATGGTTAAGATGATACATTTCATGTTATGTGTATTTTACCTTAACTAAAAATAATCTTAACACCGTCTCCATCTGGGGCCTTAAGAGAAAAACTGGATAGAACCTTACATTCTTTGCTAAGGATGGAAAAACAAGTTGTTCATCAACAAACCTTCACATAGCATTTAGAAAGGTAACCAAAACAAACCATTAGAGTTTTGAGGACATTACTTTTCAGACTCAAGCTGTTCTTTCTTCTGCTTTAGATCTTCTTCTGTTATCCCTCCCAGGTGTTTATAGTTGCTCTCAGCAATTTCCAGCATGTGTCTCAATTCAACAATTTTCTTATAAGCTCTCACTGCAAGACAAAGTTGAAGACGGACCTAGTTTAGACAGACAACAGCTCATGGGCTCACAGGATGCTGCTCCTGAAATACATGCTTCTTCTAGAGCCAGTACCTGAGTGCTCAGGGCGGAGGGGGGCGGTGTGTGTGTGTGTGTGTGTGTGTGTGTGTGTGTGTAAGGAAGGTGGCATATACATAGAAGGGTAAATATCAGTAACAAAAGAGCAGGATAAACAATCATTGAAAGACCTAAATGGAGGATTCTTTTTCTGCTATTGGAGGATGTATCAAATTGATATGGCTATTAATACTATACACAGGAAGGTTTAAAGAAGACCACAGTTGCTTAGGATTAATGGTGTATTACAAGACCATGCATAATCTACTATATATAAGAAAATTAGAAAAACTGAAATACGGTTGATATATTTAAACCAGATCTAACCCAGCCCCCCAATTTTATGCTAGTCACTTGTAATATCTATTTATGCAAGAGAACACTGAAAGAAATATTGAGGGCTGCTTTTAGCTATTATCCACTACCAAAACTAGGATTTTTCTATTCTTTTTGACAGTGGCTCTTAACTTGGGGTGATTTTCTCCCCCAAAGGACATGTGGCAACATCTGGAGACATTTTTGCTTGTCACACTTGGGGGATGGACAGGAATAGACGATTGGCATCTAGAGGCTTGGAATGCTATTAAAATCTTAAACTACAAAGGAGAATCCCCCTCAACAAATAAGCATCTGGCCCAAAATATCAATGGTGCAGAAGTTGAGAAACCCTGCTTTATGGGACCAAGTTAGCAGTTACAGCCTCTTCTCCCTAACACTTAACACTGTGATTTATCTCTCAGTAGGTTATAGAGCTGCAGGTTCCAAACTGCATACATGAGAATCAACTGAGGTGCTCTTTAAAAATGTACATTTGTGTCCCGTTCCAGACCTACAAGTTCAGGTATTATTGGTACTTAGTAAAAGTCCCTCAGACAATTTTGATGTGCAGACAGGTTTGGGAACCACTATAACCGCTAACAAGCAAGTAGGAACAATTAAAAAAAAAAAAAGAAGTCACAGAAGAAAAGATCAAAAGAACTGTGGCTATTTAGCTTATATAATAATTCTTTAATATTTGAGGGCTATGTTTTGAAAGAGCTGCTCTATGGGGTCATAAAAGGTAAGAGGTAGGATTAAATGAGATTACTCCAGGAAGAGAGATTTTAACTCAACAAAGCAGAAACTTTTCAACAGAAACAATAAGAGCTTTCATGCATTTTTGGACACTATACTAACTTCCTTATACATTTTAATCCTCACAAGAACACTGTCAGATGAAAATGCGACCTCTGAGAAATAATGAGTATCTTGTCACTGAAGGTGACTAAGTGGATGCTGGATGACATGTGACAGGAGTGTTGAGCCAAGAGTCAAACTGCAAATGGGCATAGGGCTCTACAATGCCATAGCCTTAAGTATAATTTACTAAAGAATGCTTTGAATTAAGGCTCAGTTCCAGGAATTCTGGGATGACAAGAAATCCAATCAGTCCCCTGTAAGTTCTCTGGCAAAACCTAGTGTCCCAAGAAGAGGCCGTCTTGTCCTTTGGGTTTTGCTCTGGAATAAAATTAAATAGGGACAAGAAAACAGCACATAATTTCATACCTTCACCACCAGCAAACACACTAGGTAGGTATCAGTGAGCTTCACTGTATGGCAAGGGGGTAAGAATACATTTGTATCAAACACATCACAATAGGAAACTGTTCTAGTCACATTCTTGCTCTTTTCTAAAACATCTTTTCAAAATTTTGTGATTCACTGACAATGATCCCCTTAAAACATCTCTTACTCAAATAATTTCAGAAGTAAACTGTAAGTCTACAAATCAACTACTCATTTTATGAGGTCCTACATCCTTGCTCATTCTCAATAGAATCACCAAGAGTAACTTAAGCACAAATAAGAAAATAAAAAATAAATAAACCAAACTTCATCAAAATTAAAAACTTTTGCAAGATTCCAGTCCAAGATGGTGATGAAAGACTCTAAGCTCACCTCCTACACAAACACACTAACTCTTCACCTATTTATAGAGCAGTTGCTCTATATGAATAAGTTATCTACTATATATAAGAAATAAGTGAATAAGTTCTTATTCACTATATGAATAAGAACCGAGGGCTGACTGAACAGCTTCTGCACAACAAAAGATGGAAAGACCACATAGAGAACAGCAAGAGAGACAGAGACATGGTAATGAAGGGAATCCCCATTCCTGATGTTATGAACTACAGTGAGAAGGGACTAACTACTGAGGAACCATGAGCAGATTCGTCTGTCCAGAGGCACAGAAAAAAAGCCAAAGCTTAAAGAGGCAACTAGAATATAAAGGAACCACCATTAGAATCCTGTCAACCAGTGGAGCAGCTGTTGGAACTCTCTCTGAATCAGAAGGGCTGGCAAGCTGCATGGCTCACATCCCCACTCCACCTCAACAGCACAGATGGAATCAGGGTCTGATGGCCATAGCCAGCCTATCCCCTCAGTAAGCCTGGGGCCCCTAGCCCACACCAGCCCCACCAAGATGGGCCCCAGTGTGGTGCACACCAGGACACTCTGGTCCACACTCACTACAGCTCCAGCCACCTCACCAACATGACATAGGCTCAAATTGCTCTAGAACATCAAGGCCCATAGTACACTGGCTCAGGATGACTTGCCAGGGGATCCCCAGCACAGTGCAAGGAACCCCCAGGCCTGCATCCACCTCAGCTTCAGCCGCTCAACCAGGGAACCCCCTGAACAGAGTACCTTGGGGCATCCTGATCTGCACCCACTTTGGTTTCAGCCCTCCTGCCAGGCACACTCTGTGCAGAGAGCAGTGGGACACCCTGCCTTCCACCCACTTAAGCTCTACCTGTCCTGCCAAGGTGCCCTCAATGCAAAGAGCCCTGAGCCACACCCACTTCAGCTTCAGCTGTCCACCCAGCATGCCCTCTGCAACCAGAGCCCCAGGAATATCCTGCCCTGCACCAACCTCTGCTCTGGCCATGCCACAAGGGCAGCCCCAGCAGAGTGCTCCAGGACCTCCATCCAGCCAAAGATCCAGCCAGCCAGCCAAAGTCACCAGGTATACAGACAATACAGGGGACATCCCTACATAAGGCCATTCCTTCAAGTTTAAGAGAAGTAGCTGTTCTGCCTAATTCATAGAAACAAACATAGAAAGCCAAGTAAAATGAGGAGATGGAAGAATATGCGTCAAATTAAAGAACAAGATAAAACTATAGAAAAAAAACCTAAATGAAATGAGGATAAATAATCTGCCTGATAAATTGTTCAAAATACTGACATAAAGATGCCCATCAGACGGAAGAGTGGATGAACTCAGTGATACCTTCAACAAAGAGATAGAAAATATAAAAAAGAACCAAACAGAGTTGAAGAATATAATAAATGAGATGAAAAAACACTAGAGAGAATCAACATTGGATCAGAGAATACAGAACAGATCAACAATCTGGGAGACAGGATAATGGAGAGCACCCACAGTGAAGAGCAAAAAGAAGAAAAGAACTTTAAAAAATGAGGATAGGTTAAAGGATCTCTGGGACAACATATATTTGTATTATAGGGTCCTAGAAGGAGAAGAGATAAAAAGACAGAAAACTTATTTGAAGAAGTAATAGCTAAAAACATCCATAACGTGGGGATGGAAACAAACATCCAGGTTAGGGAGCTCAGAGAGTTCTTAAAAAGATGAACCCAAAGACATCCACACCATGACACATAATAATTAAAATATCAAAGATTAGAGAGGAAGTTGGGAAGATGGTGAAGTAAAAGGACCCTAAGCTCACCTCATCCCATGGATACAACTAGATAACACATCAGCATAAATAACCCAGAAAAAGAACCAAAGAATGCAGAACAAACTCCACAAATGAAGGTAAAGAATAGGGCAAACCAAAGAGGGTAGGAAGGGAGGAGACACAGTGGAGAGCAAAATGGACCACAACCATCCACAGTCAGGAGGGAGACACCGGTCCAGAGAAGGGCAAGAAAGACTATCACACTGGGGAGTCTACATAAGGAAGACGAAACCCCACAACATTTGGCACTGAAAGCCAGAGGGGCTGAATTTTATGAGTTCTAAAAACCAGAGAGACTTAAAGCATGGAATTTTAAAACTCTGCGTGCTCAGTTCTGGGAGAACCTAGAGAGTGATAGGAAGCTGAGTCCTCTCCCTTAAAGAGACAGCAGGACAAACAGCCTGCAGATATATAACCCAGAAGCAGCAGTTTAAAAAACCTCAGGGGCACATGGGAGGGACAGTTATTTACTCCTGTCAGAGAGTGTCCTGGAGGGGTAGGGCTCACAGGAAGACCTCTCCAGAAACAAAGGAGCTGGCAGGCATATTCTCCCTCCCTTGCCCCCCAGCATAAAAAGGCCACCTGCAGGAGCCTGCAGGAGCCAGCACAAAGCCACTATTCAGCACCTAACTTGTGTATCAGCATATCTGCCCTTCTCAGTTACTTTTTGCCTCAGTCCCCTCTCCCAAAAGACCTGCAAAAATCTTGCCAACACCATGTCATCCAACCGGTGAATTTTGTGGGGCCTTGATCCTCACAGCAGAAGCAGGTCTCATTTTGCAAGCAGACCTGAGCTCACCTTGTTAAAACTGTGCACCTCACCCTGGCTGGGGACCAAATGATGTCCACAACAGGCAAAGTGAGCCTCTGCAGATGAATGAACTGAAGGAAAAAGCAGTGAGGACACAACAGCAGGGTGCATGTAATACACAAAGGAGATCCTCTGAAGTGCCAGGGAACAGGGGTTGCTGCACTGTAAGGCACTATAGGACCTATCCTTCTTAAAGCCATTGCTTTCAAGAGCAGGAAACATTGCTGACTTTCCTAATACACAAAAACAGACACAGAGAGGTAGACAAAATGAGAAGACAGAGAACTATATCCCAAATGAAAAAAACAGGAAAAAACCACAACAAGAGAC